CTCCAGAGTGTTGTTCAGCATGGGGGTGAGTAGAAAATGAAGGCTAATCATGTTTTGGGTGTACTATTCCTTTAAGATGTTTGTTTGGCTACACTCCAAATAAATACAGCTGTTCTGTAAATCCTTTAGATGGTTGTTTGAGAACATCGGTGAACAAAAGGCATCGTGGAGACCAACAAAACACATAAAAATGTAAATGATGAGATTTGGAGGGTTTACAACTTGAGGTAAATTGTAAAACAATACTTCTTGCTGTGAGCACAAACCTCTTCTAAAAATGGAGATCTTATGGTATGACTGTAAACCTACCAAGATATTGACATCCACCTAATCTGGGAGAGAAAATATTATTCAAAGAAGGAGTCAGACGGCCAGTGATAACCCTGGAGAGGCTGCACAGATCCATTGTTGGGGTGGAAATCTTATCAGGCTAGTGCACTCCAGAATCTAGCTTGTATGTATGAAAAACACAGTTTTTAAAGTACCGTATGCTAAGTATGTTTCCTATTTTCCCAAAAAGCCAAGTGGGAAATCATTTGGAAAGTAGTGACTTAAGTCAGATAAAATCAAACGAAACAGTTTTGCCTTCATAAAAAATGTAGAGGAAAACTAACAAGCTGAGAAAACCAAGCTAACAGTGACATGTGACACCTTCATGCTGTGCAAATCCTTTTCTTCAGAAATGCAGCGAAGTCGGTCAGTTTGTTGGAAGGTGAATAGAGCTAATTACAAGCTAATCCTATAAGAAAAGTATTGAGATCTGGCACTTGACTAAATCCCTGTATGTGTCTGGGTCTGTGGGACATGTTTTTTTATAATAAGGAAAACTGATAGAAGTCATTATTTCTGCAGTCTCGCTTGGTTTGATATCTTTTGACTGGGACCTGATAATGGTGTACACCTTCATTCAGTCATTTGTTGCTTCCCTATGTATAAAATGTGTCTTACCCAACACCTGATATTTCTTGACAGATGTAAAGACTGATGAAACATTAAAGCATCAGCATCTTCTTCCTAAAGTTTTAGATAAATCCCCTTGGTTTTAAGTCTTGTTTTAAGAGCCAGGAGCGATAAACGGTGCAGCCTTCTTTGAGAAGCAAAGGACCAATGTGCTTCTCGGTTGAATGTAAAACTGTCTATTTCTCTTTAAGTGGACAATAAGCATAGTAGTGCTCTGATTTATTTCTCAATAGAAAAATATACTTTTTTCGCTTTTATTTGTATTCTACACAACGTTTTAAAATGTTCTACTCTTTTTTTATTGTCTAATTGTATTATTTTACAATATTTTCATGCTAAGTACATTTGTAAAATATTCTTATGTCCTTGGGCTTTCATAGAGTGCCCTCATTTTTTCATGCCAATTAAATTACATGGTTCAGATTATGATTTCTTTTGCTTTATTCATTTTTTCTTTTGAGAAGCTGTTATGTGTTTACAAAACAGCGCTTACTGCTAGGGTTAGATGATAATTTTGTTTGTGTTTGAATGATTCATATGTCAGTACCTAATTTTTGAAAAATAATTAACTGCAAGGACTAGACTGAAAATGGGTAGCCAAATAATTCTTAACAAACAAAAAAATCTGAAACCATCACAAGAATCAAATAGCTGGAATTTAAAATTAATTGAAAAATATTGAAAATCTGGCTTTACGGACCAAATCAAGGATAACTAAACAGTGTATAAAAAAGGAGAAATAATGAAACTATTATGCAACCGTATATGGAGTACAATAAGGAGTCACGGATCCCATGCAATACCTCCATGACCCACAAGGGGGTTGCAAACCCAAGGATAATTGGCTTCTTCTTTTAAGTGTACTGCCTTTGAGTTAGTTATTAGATTTTCCATTTGGCTTCATGGTGATATAGTTAAAGCTGCACTGTTACCTTCAAACCTTTCAACACTTTCTCACAGTGCTGATGCCATGCTGTTTTGTTAAAAAGCTACCATTAATCCATGCCACATTAGCCAGCTGTTAGTAATGGGTTCTCCTTCACTGTCCATAGCTTACTATTCCAAAGCTTTGACTTTGCCAATAGTGATAAAACGCACTTCTGCTTTAATGGTCATTTTGGGTAGAAAAAGCCTCTTTCCTGGCTGTTATTCCCATGTTGGGTTTATTAGTTCACTCTCAATTTGATTGCAGATTTATGTCCTTTAACATCGTCAGTTACCACAGTTACCTGGGAGAAGAAAAAAGGATAGCTAAATTGAGGCCATGGAGACTTATTTTACACCAGTGTCTGCCCTAAAGCTAAAGTGGATAAGGCAGCAAGTCTCAAATACTTTGTGATTAAAAAAAAAATCTGCTGCAGTAAATTAATTTTCACACAAGAGGAGGGAATGATTTGAAATTATATCCTCAATCTTATCTCAGAATAAGATCTGCACAGGCCCAATTTTTGATGGTGTAACACGTTGTGATACTTTTGTATTTTATTGTTCAAAAATATATTTTCTTTTCTTCTGCAGTGTTCCCACATTCCATGACCTACAGGAAGACATTCTAAGCAAGCTTGCTGATGTCCTTGAAGAGGTAATAGGTTCCTCCATCTTTCTCATGACACAAGTAATACATTTCTATAAGTAGATATTATCCGCTCTCATCTATTAAACTAATGGAAAAGTTCTGATAATATGTACTTGTTGGGTTTTGGTTTCTCTACTATATCTGAACATCAGAATAAGTAGGAACACTTGAACATGTGCTGTGAGGTAATATTGCACAAAATTCCCCACAAACTAAGCAATGGACATGTTCCTAAACCTGCTGAGGAATTCAGTGTGTTGCCGCCTTGCCTCATCCTGCTTTCTAACAATTAAGCTTAGCATAATGAATCAAATTGTTCATTCAATGCTGTGTTTGGGCATCTATTATGAACTAAATGTTACTATAGTAACATGCTTTTAGTGCCTTTTCTTTTCCGATTGAAATCTAAGCATCGTCTGTTGCTATCAAAGCTGTTGTTCTCATCCTGCTGCCATCTCATTAATTCGAATACTGATGGAGAGATTAGGCCAGATTTTAAATGAGTTGTAGAACCATGAGAATGTGGAGAAAAATGATGCATCATGTGGTAATGTGGTTTAAATGCACATTGAATGACTTTAAATGTTTTCCTACCTAAATAAGTGTAAGAAAAATATTAACTGTATTTGCTTTGAAGGTTATTTGGTGTTTGTTTCACAGAGTATTATATAATGAATGATACCTGCCTAAAATAAAAACACATTCTAAGACTTAAAAAGAATGCTTAACTTTTATCACAGATGTGAGTAAGTTTTACGTTTAATAGCTTATTTATGTTCAGTTTGCTCGGTATTTTTTCCAGCAACATTTAGAAGATGAAATAAGCACTTCCTCATTTACAGGCTAGTGAAAGCTTACACTGCGTCTGTTTATAAATTAGATTCACATTTACATTACATTATATTTTAAGCAAAATATAAGTAGGGAAAACGTCATAACTTTTAGGTGATAATATTATAATATTGTTGAAATCATTTAAAATTTCTAAAATTCTATATTTTTGGTGAGATAAGTCAGAAGTATATTTTTATTCTAATAATTGCATTAATATTACCCTTTAAATTATGTTACGTCCACCTGGCTTGTTAGGTGGGGTAACATTAATGGAGACCACACAAGGATTTTCAGAGTTAATAAAAAGGAAATGTATTAAATTATATTAAGTAACAACTGAAAAAGGATTACCTGAAATAAGAAGCCAAAACAGATTAATACAAAACCATAACCAATTAGAAATAAACAAACGCAAAACAAACCTAACAAAACTCAATCATAAAGTCCAAACCAAACCAACTGAAGTTCTGGAGAGGGAGAGGAGGAAAAAAGCCTCCTGACTGCTGCAGCATGACAGCTTTTAAAGCAGCAGAGCACCAATCAGGGAAAAAACATAACACCTGCAGAAGGCCTGCCTCCAGGACCCTAAAAGAAGAAAAAGCAGAGACCCACTGCAGCCGTAACAATTAAGAGCCTGCACACGAGGTATAAACAAGTTAAGATTTTTTAGCACTGCATGAAAATTGTCCCTTTCATTGTAATCATGTTTACGCTGAGTTTTGCATGGTGGAAAAAAACCTGAATATACAGGTATGTATGTTATTATATGAAATATAACATGATGAAGTGCAGTGCAAAAAAAAAAAATCTATATTTTTTTATTACTGATTTCAATTGGAAAAACTTATGTACTAAATGCATTTATGTTGTAGAACTAAGTATTTGAAGAATTTACTTTGTGTAATTTTGGTTGTGGCTTACAGATAATTAAATATCTGGTTCAAATTTTGTGCCATATATTCATCACTAGCATGGTTAGCACAGTTAAAGCATGTCAGATGTGAATCTCACTTGGCAGGGATGAATAACACTTTAAACTGAGTTGTCTTGATTCTACGGAAGTTGGAAGTTACAAAGAGGTTGCAGCTTACCTAACACATCACTCTAACTTTCGTAAAGCTACCACTTTAGGGAACTGCTAGTTCTTAGTTTGGTGTGACATGTTTTCAACACTAAACCGCTCTTTACTGAGCGAGAAACTCTCAGCATCTACAAATAACATTTTCAACAGTTATATTTCCTCTCCAGCCGTTCTTCAATAGTTTAACAAATGAATAGTATTTTATCTAAAGAAAAAAATATCTCTTTTTTATTATTATTGGGTACAGAACTATATTTTACAGTATAACTATATTATGTTAAGAGCTGATCTTGAAACGCTTCCATTATTTACTTTATATGTTTTTCAATCCTATACATCTTTTAAAATAACTGAAAAAGCCTTAACTATTGCTGGAGCTTTTTTTTCAGCACAAAAGTGTTTTCCTCATTTACTACCTCACATTAGACTAAACCTTTAAAGATTTTATTTTGCTTTGCTAGACATTTTGTTATTATTTCTGTCTAGCTAAGCATCATTTAGGTAAATGCATTACAGAAATGCAGGTATTCCCCTCTATTATCCATGTGGTTAATTGATAAATTTCAGTACCCAGTATTGACTTAGATAGCTTCCTCTCCCTCTGAGCAGGAACACTGAGGGTATGGCAAACTGACTCCTAGATGATAATCTGGTATTTATTTCTCTTTTGAAATACTGTAAACCAGTGATTTTCCCTCCTTGCAGGGTCCTATAGCTTTTAGTTGTGTTTCTGATTGCTTACTGTTCAAGGTTCTCCATAGGTTTATTAAAGAGGCAATATAAAGCAGGAAAGTAGCAAAGCAGAATGCCACCATTTGCTTTCAACAAAAAAAATGTACTCATTTGATAAATGCATTAGTTATTTATTTTCATGTGTTGAATAGTATGTTGCCACTATGTTCTTTACCTTTATTTTCTTCTCTTCCAACAGACACACTACGAGGAAGGAGAGTACATCATCAGACAGGGGGCCAGAGGAGACACCTTCTTTATTATCAGCAAAGGAAAGGTGAGGACAGTCACAACAGGCCATACTCTCAAGGCAATCCCAATTTCAAGACAAGGCATCATGCCATATAGCACACAGCCAAAGATGCCAATCTTTGAAGGGAAGGTGTGGTATTTTTGGATGGAAGTTTGCTATCATCAATCATCTTCAGATTGACGGATAGGGAAAAGTGCTACCTCTTTCATCATCCCTTGCAATACTGATGGGAGCATCTAGAAAGGGGAAAGGAGTCACTTTGATTTCCCCTTTTAGTAATCAACACAGGCTTTCACGTTGGACTCCATTCTGTGGAAGGCTTTCAAGTTGCCCACTAGTCATCCTCATGTTTTTATGGTGTAGGTTATGGTCATATTCAACACTCTTTTACAATCACTTGCTTCCAAATATGTTTGCAAGCACCCGGGTCTTACCTTTTTTTGCACTCTTCATTGGTGCAACTTTGGTGTTTTGATCTTCTTTGCAGACATCAACCTTAGAAAAACATGACAAATTATCCCTTTTACAACACAACAGTTTGTGAAACAAGTTTAAAAAATTAACAGATCTATCCTTTCTGCATCTGAAAAAAACAGTTGGTTTAAAAAGAGAAGACCTGCTTACTTGTGTTGCCTTGATAATTGTTATCATCAAGGTAATAGTTTTAAATTAGAATCTGCCATTGTAGTGCTCCAAGTAAACTGTCTTTGACTCTAATTTCAAAGATAGCTTTAAACACAACAAAGAATGGGCACATAAGAAATTCTGTGGGAAGTAAAAATAATATCCTTGGGAATCTGAGGTTTTTAGTTACAAGAAGAAGCAGCATATCAGCTCGAATATGAGAGAAGTCAGCAATGAAAATTTAGAGTTAGAATTAGTAAAAGCTATTGATCAGGTTAAGTTATGTATTCAAATTTGATCAGGTTCCAAGCCCCAATTATGGATCTTTCAAGGTCTATTAACTCTTTCTTCTAACAATACTCTGACAAATTCAAAAATCAGCAGAACTATTGACAGGACCCGTTCAGTGTGTTATTGGAAAACATATTCCACAATGCAATGCTGTTAAAGAAAGGAGATAGATGGTAATTCACTCAGTTTGCATTTTATTGTCCCTCTTTGCAAAGAGAGAACAAGACAATCATAGCAGCCCTTCCATGTCGATGTTCTGCCCTGTTCTGGTTCCTCTCACTAACTTAAACCCTACAAAGAGGCTGTGAAGGTTTTCAGCACACAATTAATCAAAACAATTACAGACAGTTTGAGAAAACAGTACCATGTTATGAATAAACCCTGAGAAAATGTCTATAATGTTATGAGAAGGAATATTTTTATCCCAAACACTCCCTAATAGGATAAACAACTTCTCTCCCTAGGACACCTTCTAGCCTTGCAGCTCTGAGGCCTGAATTAATGTTTTTATAAGTAAATTTAATCTTAGCACTTATAAATCAGTATATGTAAAAGGGAATTAATAGGAGATGGTATTTCCCCCCCCACATGTGTTTTGCTAAGAAGCTCAGACTTGTCCGTGGATGCAGGTTGGCATGACTCTACTGAATGTTTTAAC